GGGGCCCCAACATTAGTAACAAAGAAACAGAATTTCCAGAGGATGAGGCCCAGAAATCAGGATTTTAAAAAGATTCCCAGCTGATTCTAATGTGCAGCCAAGGTTGAGAACCACTGATCTACATGCAGTAAAATGTACCCATTTTTAAAAAAAAGCGCACTGATCTTAAGTCTGCAGCCCAGTGAGTTATGACAAGCGTATACAGTCATGTGATCGCCGTGGTCATCAGGATTCAGATCATTGTCATCACCCTGAAAGTTCCTTTGTGACTCTTGGCAGCCAGTTTCCTTCCCTGTCCCCGCCAACTACCGCTCTGCTCTCTGTCACCACCGTTTGGCCTTTCCTGGGCTCCCTGTCAGTGACACAGCAGAGGGGTAATCTTTGGGGTCTGGCTTCTCTCACTGAGCATTGCTTTTGAGATGCGTCTATTTTATGGTGTAGCTTGTTTCCTGAGCATTCCATTCATATATGTGTTCAACGTAGAAATATATCCTAAGTATATTTGTATGGCCAACAGGCATATGAAATGTCCAGAAAAGGGGAATCTATGGAGACAGACAGATCAGTGGTTGCCAGAGGTTGGAGGTGGGGACAGGGAGTGGCTGACTGCACATCCCCAGGAGGGAGCCCTTTCAGGGGGTGATGAGAATGTTCCACAATGTATCATCATCATGGATGCACAATCTACATTTACTGGAAATCACTGAATTGTACATTTACAATGAGAATGTCATGACCGGTAAATGACACTTTAATAAATATGTTTAGCCCTGACCGGTTTGGCTCAGTGGATAGAGCGTCAGCCTGCGGACTGAAGGGTCCCAGGTTTGATTCTGGTTGAGGGCATGTACCTTGGTTGCAGGCATATCCCCAGTAGGAGGTGTGCAGGAGGCAGCTGGTCGATGTTTCTCTCTCATCGATGTTTCTAACTCTCTATCCCTCTCCCTTCCTCTCTGTAAAAAATAAAAAATTCATTAAAAAAAATAAACATGTCTAAAGAGGAAAACATCTTTGTGTGGCATAAATAGAAGTCCACGTCTTGAATTTTCAGTGGAGTTCCAGCATCGCGTTGACGGGATGCTCTACAATTTAACAAGGCACCTGCCCACTGAAGGCCTTTTAGAGTGCTGTGGGTTTCGCTGTCCCAAAAAACACTACAGTGGACGTTCTTGTACATCTGTGAGTGCTCATCTGTTTCCTTAGGCTAAATCTCTAGAAATGCAACGGCAGGCCAAGGAGTATGCATGGATTTTAAGGCTCTTCCATCCTGAGGGCGATGTGTGTAGAGGCCGAGCCCCTACACTCTCGACAACACTGGATATTATCCATGGTTTTCACCTTAGCCAAGCTGTCAGGTGAAAAATCAACAGCTCACTGCTTTAACTTGGGTTTCTTCATTTACCAGTGAGACGCAACACCTTTTTCTTACGTGTAGTGGCTATTTCAAAATCTGTTTAAAATATCAGTTTTTATAAATTTAATGACATTATAAAACTATAAATATGACAAAGATACGTAATAGAAAGTACACCTGTGTTCAGCGTAGCATTATTCACAATAGCTAAAATGTAGAAGCAACCCAAGAGTCCATCAATGATGCATGGATACTTCCAGATGGAGAGATACACAGATGTGGTCTATCCGTGCACTGGAATGTTACCCAGCCTTAAAAAGGACAGACTTGTGACACATGCAACAACATGGATGAACCTTGAGGACATTATGCTAAGTGAAATAAGCCAGTCGCAAGAAGACAAACACTGTATGATTTCACTTATATGTGGTACCTGGAGTAATCAAATTTATAGAGACAGAAAGTAGAATGGTGGTTGCCAGGGGCTGGAAGGAGGGGCAGAAGAGGAATTATTGTTAATGGGTTCAGAATTTCTGTTTTGAAAAGAGGATGAAGAGTTCTAACAATGGATGGTGGTGATGGCTACACAGTAATATGAATGCACTTAATACCACTGAACCATACTAAAAAAGATGGTTAAGATAGTAAATTTTATGTTCTATATATTTTACCACAATTAAATTGGAAAAAAAATAATAGAAAGTAAAAATCCCCTCATCAGTGTACTTGATATGTACACATTTCTCTACTTATTTGGCTACATGGAATCTTAATATTTTATTTACTTTTTAAATATATTTTATTGATTTTTCACAGAGAGGAAGGGAGAGGGATAGAGAGTGAGAAACATCAGTGAGAGAGAAACATCGATCAGCTGCCTCCTGCACACCCGCCACTGGGGAAGTGCCCGAAACCAAGGTACATGCCCTTGACTGGAATCGAACCCAGGACCCCCCAGTTTGCAGGCTGACACTCTATCCACTGAGCCAAACCAGCCAGGGCTGGAATCTAAATATTTTAAAATAAAATGGGATATTATACCTACTGTTTTACACTCTCTCCTTTTATTTCATTTTTGAAAGCTTTACTGAGAAAAATTCGCATATCATATAATTCATCCTTTTAAATTATACCATTCAGTGGCTTCTAGCATATTCCCAGAGCTGTGCATCCATTGCTACAATATTCTAGAACATTTTCATTAGCCCCAACAGAAACCCTGTACCCCTTAGGTGTCCCCCTCTATTTCTCTCCCAGCCCTTGGCAACCACTAATCTATTTCTATGGATTTGCCTACTCTTGACATTTCAAATAAATGGAATCATACAATATGTGGCCCTTTATAACTGGATTCCTTCACTTATAATATTTTCAAGGTTTATCCATTTTGCAGTATATATCAGTACTTCATTCTTTTTTAGGGCTGAGTAATATTTCATCATATGGCTAGACTACATTTTATTCATCCATTCATCTGTTGATGGACATTTGGGTTTTTTACACTTTGGGGCTACTATGAATAATGCTTCTATGAACATTTCCATACAAGTTGTGGTATGGATGTATTTTTTCAGTTTTCTTGAGTATATACCTAGGAATGGAACTATTGGACCATGTGGTAACTCTATGTTCAGAGTTGGATATCTTCCTATGTCAACACATGCAGACATATTTCTTGCTTCTTAAGCCCTGGATAGTTCTTCCATTGCATGAAAACCCCATGGTTTATGTATCCAGTGCCATGTTGATGAACACTAGGCAATGGTGCAGATCTTTTCTGGAAGGGCTGGTTGTTTCCATTCTCTGACGACAGAAACAGTACTGCAGGGGACACCCTTGTACTTTGCGGACCGTTTCTTCAGATGCTGGTCCCAGGCATGGTGAGGTGAGAGCTTAGCTCTGGCCCGATTCTGACCCTGTCGCCTTCCTCCACAGGGGACCAACCAGGCACCATGGCACAGAAGGGCCAGCTCAGTGATGATGAGAAGTTCCTCTTTGTGGACAAGAACTTCATCAACAGCCCAGTGGCCCAGGCCGACTGGTCTGCCAAGAAGCTGGTCTGGATCCCTTCGGAGAAGCAGGGCTTCGAGGCGGCCAGCATCAAGGAGGAGAAGGGGGATGAGGTGATCGTGGAGCTGGTGGAGAACGGCAAGAAGGTGACAGTCGGCAAAGATGACATCCAGAAGATGAACCCACCCAAGTTCTCCAAGGTGGAGGACATGGCAGAGCTGACCTGCCTCAACGAAGCCTCCGTGCTGCACAACCTGAGGGAGAGGTACTTCTCAGGACTCATATACGTGAGTATCTTGGGGCGGCCAGTCCCTCCTTCCTGGCCTTCTGCACCCTGGAAGGGGAGAGGTTTAGAGACGTGTTCAGGGTGCAGGGTGGGAAGCCAGAGGTCTCACTGAGGGCAGCTGTATGGTGAGATAGAATCATTCAGGCCTGGGTTCAAGTCTCAGTCCCGCACTTCCTAGCTCTGTGGCACTGAACAGGTTATTTTACCACGTGAAGCCTCGGTTTTTCTATCTGTGGAATGGGGATAATCACCCTTCCCAGGTGAAGGTGGTACGCAGATGCCACGTATGCAGAGTGCCAAGGCACGTGGTAAACCACGCACTGATTTCAACGAGGTAGTTCCCTGCTCTTTCTCCATCTGGCAGATGGAGATCTCATGCCCTCCTTGGGAAGGCTGGTGATCTGAGGACCTGTGGAGGCCTTCCCTGTCACAAGTGTCTCCATCTGGCAGATGGAGATCTCATGCCCTCCTTGGAAAGGCTGGTGATCTGGCAGCCAGCTGGGCGGGAGGCCTGAGGACCTGTGGAGGCCTTCCCTGTCGCAAGTAGGAAGGCCCAGATTAGACCGGGGCTCCTCTGGGTCAACTGTGCCAACCAGAGTGGGCTAGAGCTGCGCTGTCCAATATGGTAGCCACCGACCGCATGTGGCTACCTAACCTTAGATATAAATTAAATATCAGTGTTTGAAAATTCATGTCTTCCGTTGTACTGGCCACATGTCAAGGGCCCCACAGCCACCTGTGGCAGCACAGGGGTAAAGCACTTCCACCACCACAGAAAGTTCTGTTGGACTAGACCAGTGATGGCGAACCTTTTGAGCTCGGCGTGTCAGCATTTTGAAAAACCCTAACTTAACTCTGGTGCCGTGTCACATATAGAAATTTTTTGATATTTGCAACCATAGTAAAACAAAGACTTATATTTTTGATATTTATTTTATATATTTAAATTCCATTTAACAAAGAAAAATCAACCAAAAAAATGAGTTCGTGTGTCACCTCTGACACGCGTGTCATAGGTTCGCCATCACTGGACTAGATGATTGGGCGACTCAGAGGGTGCAGCTCCCCTGTGGGGTTGGACCAGGTCTCCAGGACATAGAGCAGTGGTTCTCAACCTTCCTAATGCCTCGACCCTTTAATACAGTTCCTCATGTTGTGGTGACCCCCAACCATAAAATCATTTTCGTTGCTACTTCATAACTGTAATGTTGCTACGGTTATGAATCATGTAAATATCTGATATGCAGGATGTATTTTCATTGTTACAGATTGAACATAATTAAATCATAGTGATTAATCACAAAAACAATATGTAATTATATATTGTGAAATATTTATTTCTAATTACAAATATGTGTTTTCCGATGGTCTTAGGCGACCCCTGTGAAAGGGTTGTTCGACCCCCAGTGGGGTCGCGACCCACAGGTTGAGAACCGCTGACATAGAGGGACATGGTGGCCCTGATGTCCGACTGTTGGCAGAGGGTCCCCCACCCAGCCTTTGTCTGCCTGGCCTCTGAGAAAGGGTATGCGGATCCCCAGGATAAATCACCTAATTTCTCTGACATTTCCTTTCCTTCTCTGCAAAATGAACACCAGGATAGTACCAGCCTCACAGAGCGGTTACACTAAAGAGAAAGTACTTGGCACCTTGTAGGTGCTCAAAACGCGAGGTGTTGATGTTATTATTATTAGTGGTTTTTTGTTGTTATGGCCATTCTTGTTATTACCAGTCAGATGTCCTTGCTCCTTTGTAAACTTGTGGGAACAGGCACTTCTAACATTATGCCCTCTGGTCCTGCCCTTTACATTTTGCCCTGTGAAAATTACAAAAAGCCCTTTGTCATCTCTCGAAATGTCCTGCAGATTTTTTCCTAATTAGGAAAATAAGACACATTCACCACAGAAGACTTGGAAACTTTAGAAAAGCCCAGCAAACACAAATCACCCCACCCCCACCCCCCAGGAGAACAGCTGTGCCGGTGCTGGCGTGCTGTGGCGCCTTTCTCTGTGACAGTGCTTCATGTTTGCATATTTGAAAGCCTCTGCATACGGGCTAATGAACTGCTCCTTCTTCCAGGTACAAGTCTGGACGGAGCACCCCCACATCTGTCAGAACTCCCCCACCTCAATACTCTTTTTAAAAATCCTCACCCCAGGATATGCTTGATTTTAGCGAGAGAGAAAGGGAGAGGGAGAGAGAGAAACATCGATTGGTCGCTTCCCATAAACTCCCTGACCAGTGATCGAACCCGTAACCTTTTTGTTGTATGGGATGACGCTCCAACCAATTGAACCACCTGGCTGGGGCCCCAGTACGCTTTGAAGGACTGTGTAACCTATCCTATGGCTGTACCATCATTGATGATCCATTCTTCTGATAGTTCAGAGGAAACGGGGGAGCAACCCATAATTACATAAATTCCTCCTCTGACTCAGGTTCTATACTTTGCCACACTTGATCTCGTTTAATCAGCACAACCTCCACTGAGTAAGGATGCTGGTCCATTTTACCAGAGAGCAAGCTGAGTCTCCGAGTGCTAACGGCCATCCTTAGTTCCCTAACTAACCAGGGAAGTCCCTTCTGTCTGAGGGACTCCTTGTATGGAAATGTATCAACCTGGGGCTGTCAGTACACCAGGGACATTTCTAAGGACACCAGTCCGCAGGGAGCTGGAGGGAAAATTGGGCTCCTCCGGGACCAGGCCTCTCAGCTAAGAAGTGTCATCTCTAGCCAGAGAAGTCGAGGACAGGCCTGTGTATCTATCTCACCTGCTGTCCCCTGACACAGTGTTTGAGCCCAAAATAGAAATCAGGGGGGAAAAGAGGGGTTTATGAAGGTATCAAGACCCCGAATGTCTTCTGAGAGCAGATTAAACACTGAATCAAAGCTTCACATTCCTGCCATGTTTCTCCGGACGGATTAGATGGAAAGTGTTTCAGCCTGGTGACCACGCGCCTTCTCCTGTCTTGATTCTTTCTGGTCTATTTAGTCACTTAAATAGAAACCGTTTTTCATGACCGAGGAGATACAGAAAGAGAAGGGGGGCAAGTTACGCTGCCAGCACATGATAGCAGATTAACAGGTGGGTGGCGAGGTGATGCTAAGGCAGGTGGGGGTGCCCAACTTTGCCCTTGGTGATGAAGAGAACGCTCCCCTCTGCTCTGCAAGGCTCACCTCAGAGACTTGGAAAATTTCAAAAAGCCCGGCAAACACAAATTGCTCACCTTTGAGAAGGTCCTGGCAGTTGTCTTGTCCTCCTAGATCTGAGAGTCTGTAGGAGCCAGAGGGTCCTGAGCTGCCACAGATGGTTCATGGCGCCCGTGGGGTGTGAATGTCGTTCTGATCCCCGGTCCAGAGCCCCCTTGCTCTTCTGAATGGGTCGTTGGCTGGGTTCTCTCTGCCTGGAGTTTTCCATAACGATGTAGCAGTCAGCTCTGTCCCTGGCTGGGGGATGGGACAAAGGTTTCAGGTGGCGGGATCTCACTAAAGGTGAGACTGTCCCAAGTCCTCCCCAGACATGTCACCCGTTACTGCACCAGTGAGAGCAAAGCTTGTGTCCCACACACACTGCACGTGCAGTGACTGCGGCAGAGAAGGGGTGTGACTCGCTGGGAAAGCCCTCTGGCCTGGCCCAAGGTCAAGTGCGTGTGCTCTTTCCTCTCCTGCCCGTCTCTGTGGGGTGCCGAGGAGTCACAGGGCCTGTTCCTGGCCCGAGGCTGCTTTTTTTTTTTTTTTATTATTAAGGGGCGGAAGATAAGGTGCACTAGATGCAAATGTAGAACATGGATTCTAAAACGATGCATGGGGAAAGAAAAGGTGGTATATCCACACAATGGAATGTTACTCAGCTTTAGAAAAGAAGGAAAGCCTGTCACGTGGGACAACATGGATGAGCCTGGAGGACGAGATGCGGAGTGGCATAAGCCAGCCATAGAAGGACAGACAGACTGCACGATCCCACGTGTGTGCAGAATCTGAAACAGGCGATCTCAGGGGACCCGAGAGCCGGATGGTGTCTGTCGGGCTGGCAGAGGAGGACACGGGGAGTTTCTAATCAATGGGCGTGAAGTTCCAGTTGAGCAACTGAATAAGCTTAGGGATCTGCTGTACAGCACTGTGCCCACAGCCAGTGTTCCTGTATGTGCATGTGACACGAGACCGACCCTCCTAACCAATGTTTAAGTGTTTTTACAAAAAAAAAAAAGGTCTTCCCTAAAACCTGGGATTCTAAACTCGGTGCCAGTGAGTGAGCACCAGGGAGCTTGTCGGTCTCCGGAGAGCTAAGGAAAAGTTCACGCATACGTACATTCTTCCTGGGGGTGAAGGGGGCTTCGCTTTCATTAGACTCTCAAAGGAGCCTTGTTATCCCCAGGGCAACGGTGGCAGCTGCCGTTCATTTAAGATTTACTGTGTTAAGAGTTTATACTAATACATTATTATTGCCACTGCTATTATTTCGTATGTAGGAGAGAGGCACTATTATTGAGGCCCATTTTGGCAGATAAAGAAACGGAGACTTAGAAAGGTTAAATAACTTGATGAGAAACAGCAGGTCTTAAACCCAGAGAGGCTGGTCCGAGGACCAGCGCTTTTAGCTGCTGTCTCATTTATTCCTTTCAGCGAAACTATGAGGCAGAAGCTACTGCCCTGTTTTAGAGACCAGGTCACTGAGGCTCAGAGGTGCTCAGCTCCTTCACTGGAAGTGGACAGAGCTGGGATTCAAATAAGGCCTGTTTGCCTCAGGGTGGAGTGAGTGCTCACAGATGATAAAGGGCCCTGAGGTAACAGGAGGCTTAGGATGTGATGTGATGTGATGTGATGTGATGTGATGTGATGTGATGTGATGTGATGTGTGTGGGCTGGGGCAGGTGGGGATGGTGCCATGGGCGTTGTTAGCTTCGAGTTGGGCAAGTTTTAAGTGCACAGAAGGAAGGAATCTAACCAGAGTGAGTGACAAAAAACATTGAGTTAACTTGACATAGAAAAGAAAAGAAAAGA